GAAAGAAAAGAAAGAAAAGAAAGAAAGTAAAGAAAGAAGAAAGAAAGAAAGAAAGAAAGAAAGAAAGAAAGAAAGAAAGAAAGAAAGAAAGAAAGAAAGAAAGAAAAAGAATTCGATCCAAGTAAAATCTATTGGTTGATTTTAACGAAGCCAGGAATGCAAGGAATCGAACCAGGGACATTTCTATTTTTCACAACATCACACAGTTATACAAGAACAGTCTCTTTGTGTGGGCTTTTTGGTAGTTAAATCCTATCAGCAAACGTTCATGGTGGCAAGTCCTTGTGGGAATAAATAAAATAAGGGTTGCACTATTTAAAGTATTGCGATGGGTGGCCTTACATGTAGTATGAGTGTACATTTGTATGCTCCAGGTGTCTTTTTCACCCAAATTTCCCCCACCTTTTTTTTAGAACCCGAACCATGTTCGATCATGTTCGATCTGGGTAATTTGAACCGAACGCGTGTTCCATTTGGGGTCACCTGTGCTGTGGTCATTTACCATAAACCTGGCCAGAACGTTTTTTTTTTCAACGATACTTCTCATCTCCCCCGTTTTATTTTCCGAATGGAACAACCCGGAATCAACATTGACGACCTTTGGTGATCGAGCTGTTGGACAACTTCGGCTGGGACTTGATCCAGTTAAAACCGCCTGGTACTAGTATACTGCCTTCACCCAAACATATGGCTTCAGCAAAGGTAAGCACTATCTTCTACCAGCTGGAAATAATAGAAATTGGCCAAATATAGACAGATAACATGCTAGGGGAGTTGGCCGCTATAGGTGTACAGCTTTTACGGTTTTTCACTCCTCTAGCAGACCAACTCCCTTGGCATAATTATTTGTCTATTTGGCCAATTTCTATTCTTTCAGCCGCCTCTGAAGCCTGGTAGAGACTAGACAAGCACCATATGTTAACACAGTTTTAATCAAAGTATATGAGAGATACTGGCACGGTTAAAAATGACCAAGGCTATCTTCTAACCCAACCGGAATCGTTAACAGAAGGTACATGTACATGTAAGGTATGTGTACGGGTCATTGCGCATACAGGAACATGTGTGTATATACGTGTGTTTTTTTGTTATTCTCCAAGCATACGAGGGGTGTTCAAAAAGTTCTCGGCCTCACCTAGAAAACGTCAGGGCAGTAAAATTTTTCTTAAACTATTTGATAATATAGTCCTCTCTAACTGCAATGCACTTGGTCCAGTGATGTTCCAGCTTTATTTTCCCCTTGTGGAAGAAGGTTGCATCTGGACCCCCCAGATAGGCCTATACCGCATAGATGACGTCATCATTACCATCAAAACGTTGACCACGTAAGTGGAACTTGAGTTTAGGATACAGGTAGAAGTCCGAGGGTGCTAGGTCAGGTGAATTGGAAGGGTGGGGTTAGACTGCAAACACAAATTCGTTTGCTGCTGTCGCTGACCCCTGTGTTGTGTGGACAGGTGCATTTTCATCTCGCCAGCTCGGAGCTTTCCTCTCCTTTTCTCTTTGATCGTTGCCCTCAAATGTCGTAATTCTGTTTTATAGTACTCCCCATTGATGCTTTAACCCCTTCGCATGTAGTCAATCATGATTACTTCCTTACTGTCCCAGAAAACAGAGGCAAAAACCCTGTCAACGGACGAAACTCGCTAAAACTTCTTTGGGGGGCGGGAAAAAAAATCTTCATCCATTGTTTGCTCTGTTGTTTTGATTCGGGGTGAAAGTGGTGAACCCAGCTCATCTTGAGTGACAAATGTTTTGAGGAAACTGCATGAATTGGACTGAATTCGTTCCTTGAAATGTCAAGCCTGTTTAAGTTCTGATGTTCAAAAAACATCCGGGGCACCCACCATGCAGACGGTTTGTTCATCCCCAGGATGTTCGACAAAATATTGTGAACTGAGTCATAACACAGGCCAAAGAACCTGCTACATGTTGGACAGTCTCACATCTGTCATTCACTACCATGTGATGGATGGCCTCAACTGGATTGTCCGTGGTGCTGATTTGTGGCATCCTGACCTATGTTCATCTTTTGTGCTCTCCTTGCCGCGATTGTAGCTAGTAACCCCGTTCTTTATATTTAAATAAGAAGGGGAGTCATCACCAAGTGTCTTGACCATGTCTTCATGGATGTCCTTAGGAGACTTTCTTTTTTATCGATATACTTGATCACAGCACACGCTTCTTTTGCGGCCATTTTGTGATTTGCCCTCACCCACCCCATTTTCACGGGGCGTCACGTGCTCATTAATGAATACAAAAATTTGAATTTTTGTGTGCAGTGATGTAAGACGTCATAGTATACAGCTATACCAAAGAATAGGAGTTTGACCTTTATTTTCTAGGTGAGGCCGAGAACTTTTTGAACACCCCTCGTACGTTAATGCTGCGGTTAATATTTGACGTGTTTTAGGGGTTTTTCTCTGGTTTTCTCTTTCTTACCGGTATCAAGTTTATACGTTTCGGGTGGAGACTATTTTTTTTTGTCGCGTTACGTATGGTGCTTCATTTTTATGGTTCAGTATCAACTTGAGAGTGCAAAAATTGTGATGAAAGGCATAAACAAGGATTTATTGAAAATGTGTACACTTAAAACATCTGCCCTATGTTTCTTGTGGCCGGACATACTGTTTTGTAAACACGCGTTATGTTGACGTTGTGCACGAATGTATGAGTTAACCTCCGGGTCTTGGACTATCACACTTCGTTAGGAGGTGTGAACATACTAGTAGTAGTGGGCCGGGGGTCGTGTGGCGAAGCGGCAGCGTTCTCGACTCGGAACCAGAGGCCCCGGGTTCGAGTCCTGACATGCCACCGATCTTGTGCCCTTGGGAAAGGCACTTACACGACTTTCCTCACTTAAAGCTTCGCTCATGTGTAAATGAGTATTGTACTGTCCCTGTGTTGGTGGCGGCATTAATATAAGTTCAAAAAACTTGAGTGTGCCGTCACCACGTCTTGTGATTACATGTTTCAGAATATATATTAAAAAAAAAACAAGCATACTAGTATGCTAGCTTAAGACTCCACAAAAAGATTTCGCAGCCGTGACGACACGCGCTAAAATCTTTTCCTAGACAAAACAAAACATTTACACTTGTAGAGAGTTTACATAGCAAACAATACAGTACATAGTAGACTAGATAAAACATAATATTTAGAGTGAATGTGTGCGACAAAACAACTTTAATTCCTTTCATCTAAAGAAAGCAAATTCAGTAGCACACGACCTAGTACTAACAGCAGGGCACAACATTGACAGTCAACATATTCTGTATCTGTAAAGCCAGTATAACCGTCTTTCGGCGTAACACACCAGCTTGGCAGGCACGCGGCGCGGCGGCAGCTGGCTACATTACACCGATCGACTTGTTACACCTAACCCTTGGACATCTAACTCTAAACATTGTTTTAAAGCTATCTAATGACAATGCCCTTACTGTACTTGGTGACAGCGAGTTCCACTCTGCGATAGTTCTAGGAAAGAATGAATTCTTGAACACCTCAATCCTTGGTTGATAACTCTGGTACTTAAAGGCATGGCTTTTTCTTGTTCTCTAGTTTTACATTATATAATTCTCAAGAGTATTTCCACTCGGCGTGTACTAGTTACAACTCAAACAATACAATGATTTGTGTTCTTTTTTTTAACTTGTTCTAATTCTGTCCCAACTTGTAGAATATGGAGGCAACAAAGAGTAAGGCAGGGCAACTACATCGGCGTCCATTCTGTAAATACACCAAATCAAAATCTACTAAGTCTACTACTGATTGCAACATCATGGCAGCGCATCTGAGGGAGAAGAAACATCAGTGTTCCATATGTGACTTCGCCACATCGCAAAAGGGCATCCTGAAACGCCACATGCTGGTACACAGTGACGAGAAACCCTACAAGTGTGACCAGTGTAGCTACTCCACGGCTAGGAAACATCATCTGAAGAGGCACGAAGTTACTCACACGGGCGAAAGGCCGTTTAAGTGTGAGTATTGTGACCACAGAATGGCTTTCAAATACGAAGTTGCCAAACACGCAAGAATCCACACAGGTGAGAAACCGTACATCTGTGGGGAGTGTGGGTTTAGGGGAGCTCGCTGGACTGATTTGAGTCAACACATGCAAACCCACACAGGAGATAAACCCTTTACTTGCGAGCTGTGTGGGTACAAGGCAGCACGAAAGTCCACTCTCGAATCCCACATTAAAACTCATGTAGGGGACAGGCCGTTTATATGTGACCACTGTGGATTTAAAGCAAGTCGAAAGTCTTGCCTAGCTATCCACATGAGGATCCATACGGGGGAGAAACCGTTTAAATGCACGGTTTGTGGCTACCTGACGGCTTACAAGAGTTACCTGGCAGACCACATGCGGACCCACACTGGTGAGAAGCGCCACCGTTGCGAGATCTGCGGGTACTGCAGCATACGGAAAGAAGCGATTGTAGCTCACATGCGTAAACATACCGGTGAGAAACCTTACCATTGTGATGTATGCGACTACAAAACAGCCCAAAGTGGTCAACTAAAGAGACACAAAAGGACACATACTGACGAAAAACCATTTCTCTGTCATCTGTGTGCCTACAGGGCTAGACGGAAAGAACATTTGGACAGGCATATGAAGATACACTCTTAATAAGACTTACAATGAAAACATACATTGCCATGGCGACGGTGGTTGCTGTTAGGGTTATTGTTTGCATGGCACTGCCATGATTTCATGATTTTGAGGAAGCCTTGGTACCCTCCCCTCCCCTGAGTGTATAGTGAACGAGCCCCGAGGTCTCAGAAAGTACATGTAGGGAATCTGGCAGACAGGTTCTCCCAAGGGTTTCCAGGAATGTGGGCATTCCTGTGGACATTCCATGCCTTTGGACAAAATTACTGTACAATTCCTAGAATTCTTGCAAAGTGCACACAATACTGTACCATTAGGCTCCTCCCTGAGACGTCGCCAAAATTTACAGTGTTGAATTTGCACAAATTGCATTACTAGCATAATAGTATTATTAGCAACGCAGCATTCTCTGTTGTATTACTAGGCATAATATTAGCACCATAGCTAATATGCTGTAATATCAATAAGTTTTTCTTTGACCCACTGGCCATTAAACTTAAAGCCATCAAAATTATATAACATGGAGAATACTTAAGATAATTCATAATAGTAGGAAAAATGAACTAATGTTGATTATTCATGTCTTTATTGCACTTGTAATTGTAAAGGTTTATAGAACAGATAAAAGATGACTAATAGACAGTGATTATCCTTATGTACTTCAACATGGACATGATTATAAAAATAATCTCATATTCTTCCATCAATATGTCTCACTTCGTGATTTCATTATCAATATACATTGATATAGTTTTGATTTGGATACATTTTACATAAATGTACACCAAAATTAACCTTTGTTTAAGTTATAATCTCCAGAAAATATTTAAAACCTATATACAATCCAGTACAAAAGTACCGTAATGTAAATGTAATGTAAAGTACCACAATTACAATCTAAGGCCACAGCAAGTAAATTTTATGGATGACATCCTCCGCAGACTCCAAATCTAATGCGAGTGGGTGAAAAAAAACAAGGCGGGCCAAAAAAAAACAAGGCTCCTACATTTTAAAATTTTGACTCAATCGTTGTACAAATGGTTTTACAAATGGGAACATAACATATACACAGCCAGCATCACATATCACTGCATCAAAGTAAGAAACAAAACATTAAATCAGAGCCTTTTCTTGTCTCCTCCCCTTTCTTGTCATAGTTATCTGCCATCCACCTTCTGGCATGGCAACAGACATCTTTGCCCATTTTCGGCATGTTGACCACTGTCAGAAGGCAACAAAATTTTTTATTTTTTTTCCAAAATCAGGCGAAAATTAATGCACGCACTGATGTACTTGCTGTGGCCTAATTAGGCATTACATAGTAATTATCACATCAACAATAGATAATTAAAACTACAAATAAATGACACTGCTCTTGCATACACACAAATATAAAATAAAAAAAATCAAAACACTGCTATTTGAAGTGGAACATAGGAACCTGCAATTATCAAAATTGCACCCTGCTCCCCCTATAGATCTCTTATAATGGAACAGTCTTGGAATGGTGCATGATATAATAAAGAATCTGCATAATTCGTTTTGAAATAAATTTTCACTCTCCATACACACACAAAATTGTAAAAAATCTCTTAGTAGTTGGAAATATGAACAGCAACTGCAGATAAAAATTGCACTCTGTCTTGGAATGGTGGGTGACACAAGCACTTTCGTAGAACTTACTGCACCTGGTTGAAACCCATGCCCGTAGCCAGGATTTTGAATGGGGGGGATTCTTCCCACTGCTTGGGACCTCGAGCGCCGAAGGCGCGAGGTTCCTAGGGGGGTCCGGGGGCATGCTCCCCCGTAAAATTTGAAAAATGAACCTTCTAAAATGGCATTTTTGAGAGGATTTTCAAGAAAAAATCAGAGATAGATTTTTATTCAATGACAAAGGGAGCAGTTTTTCTACGATTCCAGTCCATTTTTTCAAGAAAAATCTAGGACCTTTGCATAAAAAGTGGACCAAAAAGTGGACCTTTACATGAAAAGTGGACCAAAAAGT